CGTGACCACCCACGTGGTAGTGGTGAGCTTTTGATTGCCCCCTGCTGGCTTAAAAGATGGCGAATTGGCTCCAACCTGAGGATGTGAAATCGTCCCCAGCTGGATCACTAACGCAGCCTATACCTAGTCGCCTAGCTCCAGGAATTGTTGACCCTTCTCCAAAACAGCTGCTCATCGTCAACACGCATAAGCTTTACAAACAGCCTCATGGAGAAGAGGTCATAGTTTCGGCCATTGAATTCTGGTATGAAGAGCGGAAAATTGTCCTCCTGCTGGCCCCGGCAGGGTGCGGTGGGAAGAACAGTAACAACAACAAGCCAGGACATGACTGGAGCTCATTAACCACAATCCCAGAGAGCCTAAAAGACGACTGGGTCAAGACTGCTGATGACTATGTGGTGTATCCCTTTCAGAGTGACCACCACGTAATTCATGCCAATGGCACCATTGTCTATAGCTCCAGACTCGCTGATAGAGCCCTTGTTGCTCGGCTACTCTCGGAAGAGAATTGGTTCAAGAGCAAAACGCAAATGCTACCCAGGGTGACCCCGATAGGAGCCACCCACGTCCAATGGACAGAATGCCGATTCCCGTCTGATGCGGCTATAGCCGCCCACCCTCCCCAGTACCCAATGCTCCAGGGGATGCCAGTGCCAGCAGCTAGCTCGAGTCCTCCGACCACCGTGCCCAGTGCCCCAATTCCAGCAGATGTAAGGGGAGTGCCAGGAACGCAGACTCCAGATGCTTGGATCCGAGCCTTGCTTGCTCTCAATATTGAATCTATCAACCAAGAACTCAGTCAGTTGTATGACAGCTTGAAGGATGCATCCCAAACAGAGGAGGGCCGGCCTGTGAGCCAAAATCCCATCTCCAGAAGAGTAGCAGAGGCGCAAGCAGTCCTTGAAGACCTGCGTGGGCAGCTGGTGATAGAAGGAGGTAACCTAGAGCGATGAAAACGATTACGAGGTGAGCCTCCCGTTTTCCTGACCCTAACAGCGCCATCTGAAACAAAAAGGGGTGTCTTGTATTTCCTTCATGTTGCTGAATGTTGCTAAATGCTAGTCAACTCACAAAGACATCTCATTCGCTCCCCCTTCTGGTATCATGGTTGTACTATGGTAGGTGGGTCCGTTGGTGGGTCTGGCACCATCTGGAGTGCTCCAGTGTACGTTCACAAGAATACTACTGCATGACTACAGTGCTGCTTTTGTACCTGTCTCCTTCCAGTGTCCCGCAGCCGTTTGCTTTTTATCTCGGGATATAACTTACGGTCAGGGAAGCAGTATCTACAGTGTAAACGGGGTGCTGGTTGGTATGATATGCGGTGAGCATGCTGAGATCACCACATCGTAATTGCTACCTATCATGTTAAGTCATATCTACTGGTGATAAGGGGGGTGCGACACCGTTCCCTACCTCTCACCTAACTTGAAGCAAATACCTATGATATGTGGTGAGCATGCTGAGATTACCACTTAGTACTGGTTTCCCATGATAAGTCATATCTACTGGTGATTAGGGGGGTGCGACACCGTACCCTACCTTTCACTCAAATTGCAGCTATTGTTCCATTTTTCGCCTGTATGATTGCTGCCAGAGCTGTTTGATTAGGTGCGCGCATCTTCCCCTCCCATGGCTGCGGAAGCTGCTGCTGACTCGTTGGTGGCCATGCTGGCAGTTCAGGAAGCCCGTATTCCAACTCAATTTCCCCAATGGAAAAGGCACTTGTACGACCTTCATTTGCGCGAGGGTGACAGGGGCTACCCCATTAAGGTTGAAACCTGGCATCTCCATGGAAGATTTTTTCCGGTATGCCGTAGAAGCCGAGTCCTATGCCTGAAGGAGGATCCTGCCAGCTGGTCCTCCCAAATCCATCAAAGCTGGGAGAGAGACCTGGATGAAACCCAAGCAACACGGTTGACCACGCTAGTCACGAGAGAACTTACCCCGGCTTATGCTGATGCCCACGTCATCATTACCCAAAGCCCCTACTCAGGGCACGTAGCAGTGGTGGCAGAATGTAAAGTTATTGGCGAAGGCCGACGGATTCGTGCAACTTTTGCTCCGGACAAGTTTAATCACTACGAAGTACCAGGGGTGGCAGGCATTCCAAACTACTATCTCACCAGACACCGAAATATTTTTGTGGATCACCTCTTTGTAGATGACACTGATCCCTGGGCTGACATTGAGGTCAACGAGGGTTCCCTCCTCCAAGTCACCATTTACCCAGAAGGTTGGGACCCTGCCGGAGAAGATCAGGAAAGCCGGGTGCCTGCTGTTACTGGAGAAGAAGTTGAACTGTTTTAAAGGGTGAATGGATTCTTTCATCCGCCTGTCTTGCTTGACAACTCCAATGAGCAAGTAGGAAAACAAGAGAGTGTCCTGCGTGCATGTGTAGCTTCACTGCCTGATTGACTTCCTGTGTATTGACATGCTGCATGATCCTGGCTCAAGAAGGTAGAGACGACTTGCTTTGCTGCACTTCTTGACTCCTGGTGTCTCCTTTGTCTGGAGGGGGCAACACACGTTGCCCTACTCCGACACTGGTTGACCTTTTGCCTCTTCCCCCTTCCTCTTTGTTTTTGTTCTCGTTCTTGTTTGCCCCTTTCTCCCTTCCCCCCCTTTCTCCCCGTTGGTTTGCCCTTCCCCTGTCTCCTGTCTTCCTTCTGCCTTCCTTTTCGTTTCTGGTTGCTGCTGCGGGTGCTTTTCTTGCTCTCCCCTGCTTTGACGCAGTCTCCCTTGTCCCCTTGCCCCGCCCTCCTCTCTCTCACTTTGGATTTGATTTTGGTGGCAGGTTGAGGGGGCAACACACGTTGCCCTACTCATAATGCCACCTCCATTTGCACCGTTGGAAATGGCTGAAGTCACCGTGGACGAATCGAATGACCCTGTGGAAATCACCAGTGGACATGCTATCCGGAGAGCTGACGATCTCATTTATGGAGAGTTTGACCTCCTCCTACGCTGGACACAAGAGGGCGAAAGCTATCGAAGATACATAAGACATTTTTATGCCTGGCCCTTCTGGACAGTAGAGTGTGATGGTATTGCCCCGGACTGGGGCGTGCTTACACAGAGACAGGACCTGCCTGTGGTTCTCAACCGGCTATGTGTCAATTTGTCCCATAACGAAAAGAAAATATGGCACTACCCTTTTCAATCCGCAGCCATTTTTGTTCATCGGAGTGGCGCCACTCTCGGATCCAAAACCAATCGGGCAGCAAGTCGACTATCCTGGCACGTCAATGCGCATGCAGAGATCGATAAACTTCCAGCACTGCCTGAGAATACTAGCGAGCTCCTTGCCTTCGGATACGGGGTCAGTGGCACAAGTACAAAGCCAAGTGCCTTACCAACGGCCATGGAAGTTGAAGATCCAGATGAACAGGTGGTGATATTTAATGCCCCTCCACCACTGCACTCTAGAAAGTATGTTTCGCTTGCTACTCAGGTCGAGGCGGGTATCGATGCAGCACTGTCTCACCTGGCAGAAGCCAAACTACTGCTTGAACAACAGGATTCACACATAAGGCAGAGTCAAACGCTGCACACCATTTTGCGGGTTGAAGGGCGGCTTGCAGGCGTAATGGAGCTTGCACGTTGCCACGAGATGCTTATGACCAATGCTGAGGACTTGCATCCGATTCCTAGATCAAGATGAGGGAAAAAGTGCGGTGTGGCCTGAGCAATAAGGAGATGCACACAGAGTAGTTCAAGCTCCGTACCAGCGCAGCTTTCACAGTTTAATCCATTGCCGACTGTCAGGTGCATTTCTGGCTCAAGAACACACGTCAGGACTCAGTTGCAAATACGGTATGTTCAGGCACAGTCATATTAGCACTAGGTGGTGAGAAACACATGTTATCCCATGCATCTCCTTAGATGTCTAATAATGGTTTCTTGCTGTTTGCATCACAAAGCTTTCTTATGATCTGTTTTCTACTGTCAAGAAGTTGTACATGGGAATTTTGCACGTTCGCCCTATTAGGCATACTCTCACATGAACTACTACTTTTGCATCATTCTCCTTCATTGTACTCTCACAAGAGCGTAGCTATTGCGCATGGGTCTGGAAGCACCTTCTGCCAACGCTGCAATTGCGCGCCAGGTTGAGTGAAAACGAACCCTGGCTGTGGCCTGTTACTGAGTTGTTGCCGGACTCACACAAGTGAATACGGTTGCCTAACTGGCATTGGGGACTTCTCTGCTGCCAACACACGTTGGCGGACAGATCTTCCCTATCTGCTTGTTTGGTTTTCTCCCTTGTTTATTTGGTGTTTGTGTTGATTGCAATCTCTCGTGCACCATTACCAATATTCACTGCTTCCTTAGGCTGCGGCCAACACACGTTGGCGGACAGCATTTGGAAGAGATTGCACTTTTTGCCTTTGCCCGTGGTTGCTTCTTGTCTGTTTGGCACTTACAATACTGCGGCCAACACACGTTGGCGGACAGTTTGCTTTAAGTGTTTTCGTCGGGCCCCAGTCTCTCAAGCTTTGTACAAGGAACCCTCAGTTGCACGCATTACTGCCCTACATTCTAGGCTCCGTTGTTGCTTCCAAACTAGAGCCGGGATTTCTCTGCCGCCAACACACGTTGGCGGACAGATCTTCCCTGGTGAATTAACATTTGCCTTCTGCCCTTTCGTCACGACGGGATTTCTCTGCTGCCAACACACGTTGGCGGACAGATCTTCCCTTCTGACGCCTCAGTAAGGTCAAATGGACATCCAGCTGTCTAACTCATATGCGCCACTAAGCACTCAAGGGCAAGCTGAAGAAATCGCAACAGAGGATGATGAACCCTGTTGGAGCCGAGACTCCTCTCATTGTGAATCTAAGCAGCTTCCAATTCCTCACATTGACAATGGCCATGTAGAAGGGGTGAAAATAGCAGACTGTGGCGAATGGACACCCACTCTCCCATCCAATTTAGAACGTCACCTGGAGGCAGAGCTCCTAGCGGTAGCATTTCGGCATCAACACATCTCTACCCCAATGGGGTTTGACGAAGGAGCACCCCAGTTTGCCTGGGGAGATGTGGTCAGCTTGCCCCCTGAACTGACGCAGTCCTACAACGCAACAGGTACGCAGGGCAAGATTAATTATCAGCTCCTGGCACGGTCAGTTCTTGGCTTTCATGAACAGCTCACTAAGTTGGACACAGTTTATGTTGTTGTGGATAGTCGTAGCCCAGCCGGTGTGGACCATTTCCAAAATTTTGCACCATGGTGGGCCAGCAGGCGTCAGCGAATCGGGCCTGCCAAAGAGAAAACAGACATCATCTGGTTTACTGCCAACGAAGAAAGTGGGCTGGCTGACATTCCATACATCTGGGCGGACACTTTCGTCCTTGAAATGATGCGTTTTCTTTACCCGGAGCCACACATAATTTTGGTTGACAGTGATTGTACCCCTGTCACATTATTCGAGGTAGAGGACCTTATTCGCCTGTCCGCAAAGCAATTGCAGTTCACGCCTTTGGTAACCCAGACTGACGAAACCCACTGCACCAAACTAATACTCTTCACGGAGGAATTCTATGACCTCAATGCAGGAATGGTTATCTCAGTTGGAGAGCGAACAGCGGGACACAAGCCGGCAGCCACTCCACCTGAAAATGACCTCAATAAGATTGTGGAAAGGTTATTCCAAACCCGCTCGGCACTCTGGCACTCGGCTGAGCCACCAGCTGATTGCTCACAGGCGGCACAATCAGGTCTAATCGGCACCCCCTTTTTGGGGATCCAAGCCAACAGCACCCTAGACTTAGTCATGGTCTGGGCAGCCTATGGGCTTTTTGCCATCAGCAGCTACTGGCCAATTCCCCACCATTGGGAGTTTGGGCAACAGTGGCCAAGAACTGCGCATTTGGGACAGTTAACTAGGGCTGGGCAGCAAAGAGTTCCCTCATTCAGTAAGTGGGCTAGAGCAACCTTTGAGCAAGGGGCGTTGGCACTATTGAATAAAATGCCTGGTTCCGCAAAAGTGGCTATCCTCCCAGGTGCTGACATGTTCCAGGCTCACAAGTGCAGTCCTAGCAGAATGCGACCGGCCATCTACCACAGTTTTGGCAAAGCCAAACAGGAAGCCAGTGAGGTGCTCAAAAGGCTCGCAAGAGATGGATGGCAGCCGCTAGTCGCTGCTTTGCTGGGAACCGAAACAGTCCATGCGGCCTGGCAAGGGGAACGGTGGTCCCCATGTGGGGGAGTTGTGTGGAGAGGTAATGCGAACAGGCAAACCCTCACGGCCACAGGGCGAGCCCTCCTGTTGCTCACCTATGCATATCACACACCTGAACTAGCTGCCCCCCCCTTCTTAGAGAACTTAAGTTTTGAGGTGGCAGCGGACCAAGTATGGCCAGAGGAGCTCAAGTGTCATCCGGTTGTCGTTGATGAAGACCCAGAGCCACCTGTACCGATTCCGGAGTCTTGCTCGGCCATGCCGCCAGCACACCTCGAAAATGAGAATCTGAGCAGCTCCCCGGCAGAGGTACCTCATGGACCCCAGCCTACTCTTGACCCTGCTCCCACTTCGCCAGCTGATCAAATGGATGACGAGGTCCCATGCGGTCAACCAACCTTTGAACCATTTGCTGGGGAAGCGGTTGAAAGCAATAGGACTGCCCCGCGACAGCCCCCGTCAAACCCCTCTCCGCCATCGTCGGCTGCGTCCAATGCTGTTGCTGACGATGATGATATGGACGTGGTAACAATTGCGAGCAGTAGGCACACTTCAGAAATGGCCACCCAAGAAGCCCAGGAAGCCATGGCCTACATTGTCAGAGTAGCCACTGAACAAGCATGCCAAGAGAACAACACTCCAGCAGTGGACTCACAATTGCCAAGACTGCAACAACCCGCAAGTGATGTAGAAATGATGAGTGTGACAGCCCACGCGGCTGAGCTTGCCCCGATAACAACTTCAATTGAGACAGACCTAGCAGTCCCTGCTCCTACCTCAGAAGATGTCCCCATAGCAGGTGACCCAGTCGGTGAGGATATTTCAGAAAGTGCTGCTGCCTGTCACACCACCAGTGAAGTGACACAACCAGGTTTCCCGGCTTTTCTGGCCGTAGGGGAGCAGTCTTGGTGTGACTTGGCAAACTTTGCTACAGAAATGCTATCTATTGGTAGGGTTGAAGAGCTGCTTACCTGGTCTAAACGTGGTCGATTCAGCGCAGAAGTTGCATTTCTTGTCCTTCAAGCTATCTCCCTGGATGTTGACTACAAATGGCTCACAGAAGCCTGCACAGACCCAGTTGTCATTGATTGCCTCGGCCTAGGCAATGGACCACTGAAGTTGAAGCGCAAACCGCACCTAACTGTTGGGCACCGCCTTGTTGATGGTGCGACGCAAGTATATGGTCCTAGCCTCTCTCCAGAAGACAAGTACACAACGAATCTAGCGTTCAGTGCGCTGGGTGACAAAGCCGCCACCCATGAAATCACCATGCTTATGCTGCGAACGCAAAAATTTGCTGCCAAATGGGCTATTGTCACAGGAATCCCGGCTGTACTTATCCTGCACCGTAACATCCTGGTACTCCGTGCTGCTAAAATCATTCCTGCTCACCGAAAGTTACCACAACCAGAATACATGGCAGGAATCTACTGGCAAATGGTCACCCTGGCGCCTGATGGAGTGCTATCAGATTTGATTGGGACAAAAAGGCCGGCTGACACTGAATACAGTAGAACTGTCATAGTGCAAGGATTCTCAGCCGGCTCCTACACAGGTGCACTAATTGCAACAGTGGCCAATAGACTTAAACTTAGGGCAGATGTCGCAATTGGAGCAATCGCAATGCCTCCCTCGCTCATGTTCGCACTAGGGCATATGGCCAGCAGTGAAATTGACAAAAAACCAATTCACCAAGTCCGGTTAGTGCATATGTTACAGGACAAGCTCTGTCGGTGGACACCAGACAGTAGTCTTACTCTCCTCAGTCAAGCTATGGATATTGTCACATTGGAAGACCAGCCGTGGTGGATTAACTCCACATGTCATAACTACTGCTACCTCTTGGATGTCATGATCTCACCGGGTGCTCAAAGCATACTGGATTTAGCCATCACCAATGAGGATATCCGGCCCCTAGAGGTCCAGCAGGCTGCAGCACGTCGACTGCTTTCCTGGATGCGCATCACTACTACTCCTGCAGGGGAAAAGCTGCTCCGTCTCCTCGGCTTGCCTGATGAGGAGCTCCTTCCTGAAGCCAGCAAAATTCTAGGTGTCACTCCTCCTGCACAAACTTTAGCGCAGTTAAGTGAAGAACTTCTGGCAAAGTTCCAAATCACGCTTGAGGGACGCTCCAACAAATGGCTAACACAGCTGGCCAGAGATAAGCTCAGCCGTGTCCCCTTCCGGCAGTTGGTAGTCACATTGACAATCTTTGCTCCGCAATTTAAATGTGACCCCAAAAAATATTGCATCCAAGATGATCCCTGGGGGTCTGTTGCCTTAAAAGGGAAATGGAAGGTAACTGGAAGCCTCTATCCAAGAGCAAAGGGACCAGAAGGTATGCATGAATACACCCTGAGCTTTGACTACCCAGGAGAGTTTCCATTGGCTTTTGTACGAAGCCACAAAGCTGATCTAGCATACCCTGAAGTGGCTACGCTTGACTGGATCAAGGACCTAGACAAGAATGCCATCCAAAACGGGCCCCATGTTGGCGATGTCCTTCGCATCACTTTTGCTGAAAAGGTACCAGAAGATGCAAAGGAGCAGGAACAGCCTGTGCGAGCAATACGAGAGGCAGTTTCGAAGCAGACAGACCGACCGAGGGCTCAGTATGAGATGATGGCAGTACTAATGGGCCACTCACAGCCGCCTAGAGCCATAAACAAATGGAATAGAGCCAAAATCAGACACATCACTTTGGTTTCTATGCCCAATGCCTGCAACCTGTTGTCCAAGGGAGGCCGACACACGGCGGTCCTACCCAGGGCGGTTGCTGACCTGGAATTTACTCAAATGCAAATTTGTATCCAGGATATGGCAATTGTTGGTAAAACCTGCTCTGCAGACATGATCTTTAATATTGTTTCAATGCCAAAATCTCGTGTTCCCCTTGCCTTCGGAATTCCGAGACCTATCCCACTACCCACGCATACAATCCGACACGCAGACCAGCTACAAGTGAGTCTCCACAGACTCTCGTTGCTCTTAGCCACTCGGAATGCACACATGTACATGCCTGAGGCCCCTGCCTTCGCGAATCAGCTCCTGGCTGAAGCAACTTCAGACTCAGGACACTTGCTCTCAGTTGTAGCGGGGGCTATCCTCTCTTTAAGAACGGGGCGCTCAGCACTCAATATTGGAGGTGTCTTTGGTGCGGGCAAGACCACATCGATCATGTTTGTCTTCGTTTGGCTGACACTCACCTGCCCGAATGGCAGATTCTTGGTATTCTCTAAAGAAAACGCTGCTGGGCGCGCGATGGCTGCCATGGTTGATCGGCTGCACCTGACCGATGATCAAAAAGCACTGATTTGTAGGTTGTACTCTCCCCAAGGAGAGGCAGCGAATACTAAAAGATACTCATGCGAGTGTGCCACCACAGCCTGTGAGAAAAGACTGAACTCTACTAAATTCCTGATCTGCACTGCTGGAGCTGTGGAAGCCAGTGCACAAAGTCATCGCACCAAAGTATTTGATTGGGTAGTTGAGGTCAACGTGTATGGAGTAGACGAGGACCAACAGGAAGGAGGCACGGCCACGGCCTATGTCCAATCAATCATCAAGCCAGGAGCTCTTGCTCTACGAGTAGGTGACAAACACCAGGGCACAGGGGGCACGGAAAACAGCAAGGAAGCACTTGCGGTGCATCATGCCATAGTACAACTCCCGTTCGGAATCAAAGCCCCCTGTCCCATGAGCACCCCGCAGAAAGCAAGTGCACTTTTCCAGCAGACCATCTCAGCAACGGCGGATTTCCCGAGGGAAATCTTTGACTCCCTTGCAACGCCTGCAAAAGACAAGCAGCTTGATCATGATTGGGCGTTTCCCCAAGAAGAAATCTCTGCTGACATGCCTGTCCGCTTCAAAAGAAGGGATTCAGTCAAAAAGTACATCCAGGACATGTGGAACGAATTGCAAGGAGTGGACATGAATCACCCCCTAGGGAAATTAGTCACATTGTCTGTGTTGGCTAGTGCCAACGACAGCCCCTTTGACTTCCACATAGCCCTGGACAGCATGGAAATGAGCGGCCTGGCCAACCAACATGCATGGGCCATCATGCTGCCTACCAGCTCTCGAGTCCCCTTTATGCTTTATGAGGTTTTGGGAGGGTGCCTATATAAAGAACTGTGCGAAATGCATCTTGATGGCACATACACCATTGGCACCAAAACAAAGCGAACCAACTGCGAGGTCCCTACTGGTTTCAGATATGTTTACTGGTTACATGATGCTGAAGGAGCCCGTGATCACACTGTCCATGACCCCAAAGTAAGTGCGAGAGCGGCTATTGACCTGTGGGACCACATCATGCAGCTCACCAAAGAAATTCCATGTCAAGAGGGCACTGACCCCTCGGCAGGCCTCTTGGCTATTACAACAATGTCCTCGCTCCGCAGCGGCCTGCAATCGGTAGCCAATCTGCCAACCCAGCATGATGGTACGACGGTTAATTTTGATGTGAATACAGTTGTTACCCTGGCAGGAGCCACATGCCAACACAGTATAATTATGCAACCCAGCACCGGCTTCATGAGTGGTACTCACAGAGACGATAAATTCCAGGTTGCTGAGGCTCACACCAGGGCAAACATCGGCCTCTCTCGATCAATAGGAGTAACCACCATCTGCTCCCCTTTGGACATGAGGGGCCCCATCGGTGCAGCTACCATTATGGCAGTCAGACAGGCAGGTATCTCTCTATTGAAATCCAAACAGATAGGTGTCATAGACTCTGCTCGACCGGTCCAAGCTGCCGTCATGACAGTAGCGGACTACATCAAGCACACGGACCAGATGCAGCTGTGGCAGCAGAAGCCGCCCTTGGCATTGGGTGAGCGACGAACCTTTGCATCAACACAGATTCAGAAGGAGCATACAGAGGTCCGCAGGCTGCATCTCATTCTGGTCGACGAAAGGCAGCTAACTGTCAAAGTCCACACAGAGGAGGCAGCAAGACCGGCCCCCCCATTGTTCCAACTCCTTTGGGGGTATGCAGTGGATGATGTTAGATACCCTGAATGGCTGTACGTGCTTAGAAAAGGGGAGTATGGGCTGCAGCATGTTGACTTGCCCATCTTCATTACCCAAAACAGCCCTGAACCAGCAGCTCTGTTTTGGTGCTTGAATAGGCTTCACTTCTTCGATGCTTGGTCTCCTACACCAGCTTTTGCGGATGAACAGTATGTCACCATCGGGCAGCCTGCTGGGCAAGCGACCTTATGGCCACATACTGAGCAAGTAAAACGCAGATTACTTGCGCCAAAGCCTGAAGGCAAACGATATCCACCTGCCCCTCCGGCCAGCAAACGAGTATGGCAACCCCAGAAGAGATCTCCTTCTTCCGCATCAAACAAGCGAACATGGTCCTCAGGATCGCGGCCTCTTCCCAACGCAGATGCCCAAAAACCCACCCCAAAAAATGAAGAGGAAACAGAAGAGGAGGATGAAGGAGACGATGATATTAAGGACGAGAGCTCCAGCTCAGACTCAGAGCGGTATACAGATGCCAGCGCAGACTCTGAAGATGCTGCCACTACAGAAAATGCAGCTGCAAGCCGATCTTGGCAAAGTAAGGCCAAGGCACCTGTAAAACCTCGCACAGAGGCCAACCGAAGTAAGCCTGTCACGGTCTATTCCACAGAAGCCCCCACCCGAAAGCGTGGAAAGCGCCTGTCTCAATGGCATCAACGAGGTCGTGGGTCAGACAACAACTACATACCAGGACCTGAGGAAGAGCGTGACCACAAAGAAGCTTTCCTATGCCTTAATTCCCTGGCAGACTTTGCGGCTGACAAAAAATATCCTGCAACTGACTTTCCCATTAATAAGAATGAACTGGACTTGGCTGCGATTTCACGGATTAATCCTCTGTGGCCACTACCGCGTTTGGGAATCAGCATTGAGGATATGGTGAAGCAGTACGAATGCTATGTGCACCGAACATTGCTTGAGAGCATGTTAGAGGGATGCTCGGTGCAAAGCAGTATTGACACCGCCAAAGAGGTGGCATGGGATTATACCTTGGATATCGCTAAAGAATTTGCGGCGGAAATTGCATCACTTTTCCAAGGAATCCAGGCAGACCACAGCCTCCTCCAAGAGAATGAAGGATGGACTAATTTGCAGGATCAGCAATGGTGGCGGAATAACATCCTAAGAACTATCCTCCATACCAGGAGGAGAATGGTTGCCAGATATCGTGCCGAGCAGGAAGAGAAAGAAGCCAAAGAGGCACAAAACAGTAACCAACCTCTTAGCAATGCAGCCCGACCCAGTAAGACAACTCTTATCCCCAACTGCCCGCCGAGTTTTGTCACTTCCACAATCCGTGTCTCCCCAAGCAACAAAGTTGAATGCCCAGTTCGGAACTTACATGTTCACTTTCCAATGGCCTTTCTCCCAATCGTGGTAGAGGAGCTAGCAAAGAAAGTCACTGAACCCAAATGGAGAATAGAGACTCTGACGAGACATGACAAGGATGGCAAAGACCTGTATGTGGCTGACATCTTTCAAGGCCGCATGCCAATGCGATGGTTAAGCCAGCCGAAGACACCCCTGGTTCAACAGCTGTATGTGTCAGGGGTCTGCAATACCAAATGGATGGCCACCCTTGCGACCAAACTCCCAGATAATGTGGTGCGACTTGAGCTAATGCTTCCAGCTGAGGAAGCTGAGTACACGAGTGTTCCCCCGCCTCCATTTGTCAATTGTGACCGAACAGAGGACATTCTCAACAATGTGGGTGATGCAGCTGTCGATATTGACCAAGCCAAGCAAGAATTTTTCTCTCTCTTCCCCATCCAAACAGAAGACGATCTAGAAAAATTGGGGGGAGCTCTGACCAACGACTATCGAACTGCTAGCCCCACCAAAGAGGCACTCCAAAGTCACTTCCAACAACTAAATGGGGCTATCGGTTGGGACGGCAATGCTGACAAACAACGGAAAGACATGGATCTGGAAGCCTGGATGGCTATCAGAAAGGAACTTATAGACCAAGGCCTCCACTTCCCAAGCTGGGAGAGAGACCACACTGATGTAAAGTCCATTGGAGCTGCCAACAAGGCCAGAAGGCGGAACAATGCCAGGAGGAAGGCAAAAAGTGAAGCTGGCCAAGGCCAAAAACGGGGTAAAGAAGAACAGGATGACAGTGACGAATCGCCCTCTCCAGAGTAAGGGTAAAGAGAAGAAACATGAACGGGAAGGGCAGGACGAAAGTGATGGGCAGCCCCCGAGGGGCAAAGCTAGGATTGTTCCACCACGAGTCCAGAGAACCCCAACGCCCCCACCACCTCCCACGCGAACTGTCAGGGTAGAAGAAAGCCCCAGAGATCAGTGGGACAGAACTAACTGGCAACAACAATGGACCCCTAGCCTGTATCCTCCTGCGAGTGCTAGTGCGAATATTTGGTACCCCCAGCACACTCACAACATGTGGTATGGTCAAGGATACCACGGATACTCAGGCTATCAAGGGCGGGAATGGAACTCGACGCAGGGTAGTGCCTCCTCATCATCGGCGCATCAACCTTACGCAAAAGATGCTCCCTACCCTTCCCATCCGAAGTCTAAGTACAACAAATACCACGACAAAACAAAGTGAGTGGTTCCTGCTTGTTTGTCTTCTTCTGTTTGATTTCTTTGGTTTTTTCTGTTGGAGCATGGTGGCCCACGTCACATTGCTTCATATAACTACTTCAGGACCTTTGGTTTGGTCGTGTACATACATGGGTGCATGGCGGCCCACGTCGCATTGCCCCTTTTCTTTAGCCCGGTTAGGACATAGATGCGTAACAACAATGGCCAGTTCTGGAGCATGGTGGCCCACGTCACGTTGCTTAAGAACTCGGTCCTTAGTTTTGTTTCACAACCCTCTCTGGAGCATGGCGGCCCACGTCGCATTGCTTCTTTTCTTAATCTTGGCAAAGACCATGTAACGTAGTGCCATGGATGCCTCCTTGCCTGTTTGAAGTGAAAGTTCAAAGAAAAGCAGAGTGGAAATGCTGTACCCTCTTATGCAGACAGGTCTGCTCTGGCTGATCAGTAGTCTTTGACTGGCCACCACTGATCCTTTGCGCCTGTCTGCCAACTTGTTCGTAAAGTTGGCAATCCATCCCTTTGTGTAAAGTCAACAAGTTGTTCCAGAAACAAGCATGCTCATATGCCCACATCTGCATTGGCACTGGGAATTGGCTCAATGATGACTGTCAATCTTGTGTCAATGCCCTTGGCACCCTTCCCCCCCTTTAGGGGGGTTTTTGTTGACTCTCCCAAGGTGAGAAGCCTGTGTGGCTTCGTACTTCCACACTTCAATATCAATTGATGAAGTTGCAGCTGCAATGATCTACACATGCACCCTCGCTAGCAATGTATGTGCTGGTTTTTGCAAGCCTTGGTCTCGCAAGTTGAGCTATCCTTGTTATGACTGCGCTGCAATATCCGGTGATCTGGCCAATTTGGTGACTTGCAGCTTTCTTCCCACTGCTGGTTTCCTCAGGTAAATGACCTGTAGGAAACTGAATGCTATCAGGACCACACGTGGTTTCGCTACTGGAGCTGATGTACTCGAGGAATTGATTTGCACCCTCTTCTACTTGATGTGTCCACTACTTGCATCCGGTGAAGTTCTGAGAGTACTCTGAGTGGCTGTTGCTTCCGTGTAGTTGTTTCACTTGTACATAGTTTCACCGCTGTCTTGTCATGTCTCACCTGCCGTTTCTCGACGCGAGCCGTGAGCTCAATGCGCGACCTGAGGAGCAAAAAAAGCAGGAATGGGAACAAAGTGGGAACAAAGTGGCAAAGTGGGGCAAGAATGGAAACAAAGCGGGAACAAAGGGGGAGCAAGAACCCCAAAGTGGGGCAAGAATGGGAACAAAGAAGGGAACAAAGTGGAAACAAGAACCCCAAAGTAGGGCAAGAATGGGCACAAAGTGGGAACAAAGAAGGAACAAGAACCCCGAAGTGGGGCAAGAATGGGAACAAAGCGGAACCAAAGTGGGAACAAGAACCCCAAAGCGGGGCAAGAATGGGAACAAATTGGAAACAAAGTGGGAACAAGAACCCCAAAGCGGGGCAAGAACAAAGTGAGCCGAGCAATAATATCAACCAAGCAAACCGGCGGGAGATAGTCGCCACTTTGATTCAAGGCCCTGAGGCCCAATGGTCGTTGAAGCAGTTTACGGCGTGTTTCAGCAGCAGCTCTACCTTTGGCAAGTCCTCCAGGTGTCTGACGGTGATCACCAACGTAGACCATTGAGGCAGGTTGCCCTATGGCGGCTAGGACAGCTGTTTCCTGGTATCCCCCGTATTGTTGGCTTTCATCCATAAAGACAACCCATACTTGGTCCAGCCATGTTTTGAAGTATGAGTATTTCATTCCTAGCTCGGCATTAGCCGACCCTCCAGTGGAAATAACTATTGACTTACTTCCCAGTATACGATTCCGATCGCTACATGGTACGTCAATGGCTGTTTCATAACCCTTCCCCTTCCCTTCTTCAATCCTACCTACAAGGCGCCCAAGCCTATCTTGCACCGGAGACTGTAAATCACTTAACTGAGTTCCTAGTGCTTGTGCAGCGACGTTTTCCTTAGTGATGACCAGGGCCTTGAATTCCGGGAGTATGCACTGTAAGGCCGTTAGTACAATGGCTAGTGATCGGGTTTTGCCAGCCCCAAACACGCCTGCAATGCATAGATCTGATCTACCTGTTAACAAAGCTAACAGTAGAGCAGCTGTTACATAAGATATGCCCGTCTTTGTGCAAGGCTGGGTCCATCAACTTCTGCATGATGTACGGGTTATCAACAGGGTCCGTCCTGCTAGTGGGTGGTGTAACAAACCGTAATGCTAACTTACCAAGGGCATCGATCATGAGGGTTCTTCTATTCCGTTCCATTGGAACACTGGGGATGCCTTCCAGACAAATTCCCATGGCTAGTGGGAGTCTAGATTGATTGATGGTCGCAAATACAGCAAGCTCTTGACGGCTTTTACTATCACCCAGGCAGAATAACCTGTCCACAGTAATTGATAACCACGGGTTGGCTGCAATTGGAGGAGTCCAATGAGTATCGACATCGAAATACTCGAGCCCAGGCGTACTATCCTGTTGCGCCTCTAGCAGTCGAGAGTAGATAGCCTTAGCGACAGTAGATGGAAGGAGCGCAACTTCTACGGTCTTCGGTGCTATACGCCGATATGCCCGACCTGCCGCACTCTTGGTGGAGCCAGTCATTACCTTTTCTAACAACAGCATACATACCATGTAAGGTTGGTGTTCAAAAGTGAAATGGAGGAGTAGAGATCTACCCGCCATGACATTAGATTCCATCCCATGGAGTTCCCCTCTATCACATAGATCGCGGGGTGTGCCTCGTGGCATTGTTCTTGTTCACAAAAGAGGAATATAGGGTACGTATCAATAAAAAGTAGCCCAATATGCACTCCAGCATAAGCTGCAAAACTATAAGAAAGACGCATATTGATACCGGCTCGTCCCTCCTTAGCCATCTGACTCAGCAGTACACTTTCTGGAGGGTGGGTAATCTGCTGGGCCGTCTTGATCTCGTATGCATCTAACTGCGGCAGGATCATATCAATGAGGAACATGAAAACTCGGAGGGTGAATCCACCTAATAGTTCTCGAAGGAGCTGTTTGATGATAGGGTGCCCTGCGTCCCTTCTAAGGCCTGGTACCGGAATAGCTTCAATCATACTCATCTGAAGTTTACGCTCTGTGGCAGGAGTGGCAAAGGGCAATGCATGACTCAACTGTCTTAAGTGCATGTCGGTGACCCCGTGGCCAGCGAGCTGTAATAGTTCACTGGTGATGTGCTTGATCTCGTCCGGGATAGCCACCGCAACCCAAGAGATTATCCTTAGTAAGGCTTCGCACCGTGTTTGATGCGGCACGGCCTCAGGTGCGGAAGGCTCAACGACCTTCGAAACCCTTGGGTCAGCGTCCAGGACGTCGTCCTTAACTCACTAGAACCGTCCACGCTACCAAGTCAACCACTCCCAGAGCTCAGCCACTTTTACACACACAAGCACAGAAAGATAACTTGCTCATGTCGCTATGGTTCTTGTTGGTGTGTCACGCCTTGACACAAAAATGATGCGGAGTCGCCAGTTGACATGTTTCTGTCAACTTCACAAAAGCGATCAAAAACACATGTCCTCACAAAAAGTCTTTACATCAAGACATGGTTTGTTTGTTTAAATAAGTTTGAGTGTTTGAAAACTGTTGAAACATTTCAAGCACCAAAACATGATTCATGATGTCTCCCTCAGATCTGTTAGCAACTCCAGTTCTGAATGCCTTTCAGAACGTTGCTCTCGCTATCATCATTGAGAGACAAGACAAACGAAACTTCTCCGATCAATGTCAAACAAAGCTACTTCTTCCGAAGTCACAAAAATGAATTCTACGATCTTCTCACGATTCCTTCGTGCACTTCGTCGACGACAACTAAAGCAAAACATATGGAAAATGGTTTGATTTTCCATGTCACTATACAAGTTCAAATCCTCACGATGTTCTCCGTGCAATCAAAGTACTCAAAGAAGACGAAAAGTATATTGTTGTTGGGTTTCGTCATCTCCAATGAAACGTGCAAAATACAAAACGTGCAAATACGATGACAACCATCACGGATGATCTCACCGTCAAGGTGAAAAACAAATTCACTTCTTCCAATGCAGAAAAGACCATATGGATTCATCTCACCACAGATGTCAGACATCTCCTTACAGATGTCAAATTTTCACACCCCCTTTTGAGATGAACTCCATTCCATGTATAGCTGTAACCCATCCAGACTTCAGCACATATCGCTCAAGTTCGACAGGTCAATACATATAGGTGCCCTTAGCCGAAGGGCTACATAGTGACCACTCATCCAGTTCGACAATCTTGCAAACTACAGTTGTCCACATAGAATGAGATCCTTCATAAATCCAACCATCATCACAGTGTCATCAATCACAAAACTCTCGACGCAATGTAGTTCCTGCATAGAATGGCACATTAGCCGTTTTGCAGTCCACCAAATCTCGGGCCTTGATATACCTTGACCAATCCAAGGCTGGACCCTTCGCAGAGTCTTTGGTCAAATGTTTTCGACACCATGAAACATAGCTGGGGTCTTCCTCGAAGACAATCTTGTAACTCTTC